GCCCCTGCTGCTGCTGCTGCCCCTGTTGCCCTCGATTTCAACTAACCAGGTAAGGTGGGAGAAACATCCTGGAGGAACAGTTTAGCTTCTTCCTGCACTCTCCTGAGAGTCTTTGCTGGCTTTCTCAGCCCGGTTTTTTTTTTTTTTTCCTTTATAAAATATTTAAGATGTGTGAGTAGCAGTTACCTATGGGGATCACTACTTTTGGAATGGTGAAATCTTTACTCCCTGGCGGTTGTATACATAACAAATATATATTTTGCTTATATCGCAGTCGTTTGTGAACGATACATGATTTTTGTCGAGAGATTTATGTTGGGATTGGACACTACACCAGGGTCAGGGCTTCTTTGTCCGGTAATGTTTAACTCTGGGATAGAAGTTTGTTCCCTGGTGAACTGCTGATAGCTGCGTCTCTGATATACTTATCTAACTCTTTTAAGGTCCAATATATACACATATATGCAAATCCCTTCTTACCTGGTATCCACTACATCTGGGTCGTGATCACATTCTAGATGCCCTTATCCTTCTTTTTTCCCCTCTAAACATGCCCAGACATGGGGCCTTCCTGAAATCCTGTTTTTGGTTTCTAACCTGAACCTGAGATCCAGAATTTTAATCTCAAATGTTTTGCTTTTTTCACGGCCTCGCTAATATTTAACACTTTTTGTAGAAGTAACAGGCTAGTTGTCTATATTTCTTTCTGAACTTCCAAATGTTATGACTTGGAAGAACAGTAAAGCCACCTACTTTGTGTTAGGCCGACAGTCCACAGACTGCAGGCGCAACCTGCCTGACTGCGCATGCGTGTTCCCCGCCAGCTTGGTGCCGACCCGGTGCGCATGCGTGTTCCACACCCCCATCCCGGGCACCTGTAATTGTCTCCTCCATCTCTCTCAGCCCTGTTTTAAGCAGGACATCTACGGAGCCTACCTTATAGAAGTGAGCAAAGAAAGAATTCAAAAGTGCCCATCACTAAGGCTCACTGCTCCCTAAAACCACATAGAACAAACTGGACGTTGGTCCATTTACTTCCCCTTTTTAGTTAATGACATTGGGTCAATACTCTTACTAATTCTTGTGCAAAAGGCTGCATTCTGGTCTGGTGGTAAGTAGAGGCAAGGAAAGTTTTCAATACTCTCCACATTCTGGCTTCTTCCTATGTCCTCATCGATTTAGCCATTTCGATATCTCTGATGGTAGCCAAGGCTCTGCCCAGGGCCTGATGAGGAAACTGGAAAGTCTTCTCGGGGTGGGTAGTTTGTGGAGTCACATTCCTTACCCCTCTTCTCCCTTCAGGAAGAAGCTTCAGCTGCTGATGTTGGGCCCATTCCAGTATGCCTTCCTCAGGATAACAATGGGGCTGGTGGGCCTGTTTTTCATCCCTGATGGCATCTATGACCCAGCAGATGTAAGCCAGGAAGGGGCAGCAAAGACTCATTTAGTACCTTTGAATTCTAGAATGCGTGTCTGGAATCAGCAGCTCCTGACACAGGGCAGGGTGATTGTGGTGAAGCTCAAGAGACTTGGTGGGAGAGAGGAGACTAGAACAGGCCAAAGCCTTAGGGCTTTTTTTTTTTTTTTCAAATTACCTTTTCACCATGGGAGAGGAGAAATAAAGGAAGAAAAAGAACTTGATTCCCTTAATGACTACTTTCTGGTCTACCACCAGATTTCTGAGACAAGCACAGCTCTGTGGATCAACACAGTCCTTGGTGTGTCCACCCTGCTGGCTCTCTGGTCCCTGGGCATCGTTTTCCGTCAAGCCAAGCAGCACCTGGGTGAACAGAACATAGGAGCCAAATTTGCTCTGTTCCAGGTAACTATACCCTAGAAAATGGGGAGTTGGGGGAAGGGGTAATAGAGATATAAACAATTGGGGTTAGAAGATGAGACTATTAAAGAACTAAACCTGGGAATCTTCTTTATAAACCTCAGTTTTCCTGTGATACTTGGAAACCAACCTGCCCCTTCCCAATTTTTGCTTTTTTGTACCATGGTAGTTTCCTAGGTCTGCTGTAACAAAATATACCAAACATGGTATAGTTTTAAAAAACAAAAATTTATTGTTTCATACTTCTGGAAGCAAGTCTGAAATCAGGTCATCAGTGGGCCAGTCTTTCTGTGGCCTGCAGGTGAAGACTCTTGCTCATGTCTTGCTGGCTTGTATATTCCTGGCAGTCCAGCTGCCCTTGGCTTGCAACTGCGTGGCTCCAATTTCTGCCTCCCTCCTCACATGGCATTCTCCCTCATGCGCTTGGGCCTTTGTCTATTTTCCTCCTCTTATAGGGATACCAGCTATACTAGAATACTCCAGTATGACTTAATTTTAACTAACTACACCTAATTAGTTAACCCAAATAGTGCTGCTGTTTCTAAATAAGGTCACATCTGAGGTACAAGGAGTGAGAGGGGTATGCAGGTTGGGATTTCAACATATCTTGGTGGGAGACACAATTCAACCTATAATTCACATTTTATCAAACCTGAAATTCACCTATTTTTGCTTTTTCCTTTTACTTCCTAAAATTCTACCATCTAAATCCAACAGCGCCATCAGTATTACATCTACTATGACGAGCTACCATATTCTAGGCATTTTTTATACATTACATTTAAATTATCACAATAATCTTAGGAGTCATTATTCTCTTGTACAAAATGAGGAAACTGAGGAACAGAGATCTTATAGGACTTGCCTGAAAAAACATAAGGGGTAGAATTTCAAAGCAAGTTAAGAGGAGAGTCTGAAATGCAGAGCCAGGAAATGGAGGGACAGAAAGGATGTGGGCCCTACAAGCACTTAAGGTCAGGTCACAGGATAAAAGTCCTTTGACTGTCAAGCCTGCCCATGACCACTGTGGGGAATTCTGGATAAACCTCTGCCTTAAAGAGGCTGGTAAGTCAGGATAGTATATTCAGGGAAGGCCAGTACTGAAACAAATGGTGCTCCAGAGGCGTCTATTTTTCTTTTCATTGTAGTATAATATACATAGCAATTTTTAGCATTTCAAGTGTATAATCAATGGTATTAAGTGTATTCACATTGTTGCACAGTCATGACACCACTATCCATCCCTAAGACTTTTTCATTTGCCCTGAAATTCTGTCACCATTGATCCCCTCCCACTCTATGCTCGCAGTCTCTGGCACAGCAGAGATTTTTCAAAGAGCACTTTACTTGTTAACTGCTCATGATTCTAGGCAGGAATCTCAGGGACTCAAGCAAGCTGGAATGATTCTCGCTAATCATGCATCCTTTTCATCCTTTAAGTCCTCATTAGTAGTAATGGCTAAGGAAATGAAAAATGAATCCTTAATCAGTTCTTATTGTTTCTTGTCAGAAGTGCTCATAAAATATCAGATAGACATTGAGATTGTAATTTGCCTAAAGATGAAAACTCCACAGAGTTTAACCAAGTATGAGTCTCAACCCTCTATACCAGCACAAATCTAACAGTCTGCCAGACATGCAATGGAAGGTGAGCTAGCCTCTGTGCCCACAGCTGCTGGGCCCACCCTGCCTTCACCTCTCTCTCTCATCTGCAGGTGCTCCTCATCCTATCTGCCCTGCAGCCAGCCATCTTCTCAGTCTTGGCCAGTACTGGGCAGATTGCTTGTTCACCTCCCTTTTCCTCTAAAATCAGGTCTCAAGGTGAGTACATATGGGTTCCCATCACCCTCCCAGACAGGTGAGAGGAAGAGGCAGGGAAATGAGGACCTTAGCAAAGATGTTGGGTCAGCCTGGCTTCTGCTCAGAATATTCACAAAAGGATCTCCAAGAAATTCCAGCAGAAGCTTTAGGAAACTACGGCCTCTCAAATCATAGAGACAGTTGCAATCACACAGCTTGAGACTAGCCCTGAGGCCCAACACAAACAACCAAGGCTTTAATCCACAGCTCCTGGGAAAGCAATCTGTATGCTTAGGATGCAGAAAGTCATACAAATAAAGCACATGATGTTTAAGTCTAGTTTCAGGTTGTAGAAGATAAAGAGGTGAATTCAGGTCTGGCTCGACCATTCATCACTATTACTTATGACAATTTAATATCCTTTAAGTCCTGATTTAAGGGTTAGTTGGAAAATAGTTTGACTCATGCCAGGACTGTGAGTGTGATATCACCTCTATAACAGCATAACTTATACTTTATTTCATCCCCCACTGCAGTGATGAATTGCCATCTCCTTATAGTGGAGACCTTTCTGATGACTGTGCTGACCCGAATGTGCTACAGAAGGAAAGACAACAAGGTTGGATATGAACCTTTCTCTTCTCCAGACTTCAATTTGAACCTCAAAGCCTGAGGTGGATGACTTGGACAATCAAAGAGACAATGTACTTATTAGTCAAGTATAAGATTTCTTCACTGTCCCTCAACCTTGACAAAATGGGGAAGAACTGTATTTACAGCACAAGCTGCCATATTACATTTGGCATCTAGAGAGCTAAAGGTGAATTATGCAAAAGGATGGAATTGTCTGGGAACTTACCCTGGGGAGATATTTTAGATTTTATAATAAACAGAAGGAAGGAGTTTGAAACTCTTAACTGGACACATTGTCTCTGGGTGCCACGGTTAGCCCTTAAAGCTCATACTGTAAGGTTACTGAGCTTTTCCAAGGCCAATAAAAGAGAGAAGAATATATGGCTTGTTGTCTAAGCATAAAAACAGGAGTAAAATTTATCCAGGCATAAAAGTACCAGCTTGAAGTTTGAAAGAAACCAAGCTTCTCAGAAGATGTATGGGTTATGATGACCTTAGACCTGGGAAATCTGGATCAGCCTCCTTTTGTGGACATATATTTTTTTGAGTCTCCTGTGTCAAGCTGCAAAAGAAATTCCCTGATAATACACTCATGAAGCTTGATATTGAGAAGACAAAAATAACCATAAAAAAGCAAAGGAACTGAGAGTACAGGTATAAAGAACCCAAATATGTAAAACATATACACAGGTATGCCACACATCAAAGACACAGGAAATGGAACATTGGGTAGAGCCACTTTGTTTTTATTTGGCTAAATGACAAAAGCCAAAATTAAAACTGAAAAGTTAATAACTCAGATGGGAAAATGATATACTGAACACCAATTGAGGAAAATGCCCCTTGAATGCGGGCACTGGTGATATGGCTAACATTTTATGCTAAAGCCAGAAGCCAGAGTCTCCTTCCTGTACTTCCCCCTCCCCCCTTCCTCAATACAAAACAATACAAACCCCAAACAACCAAGTCTCTGTATTTCAGTCAGTGCCTCCCAAAAAAGGGGATGAGGGGGAAGTGCATTTCAAACCTAAAGGAAAACAACCTGAGATATCCTAAAGTTAAACCTGGCACTTTAGTTTTCTGCCCCAATCTGAGTACTAACATAAAACTTTGGCAGAGAGAAAAATCTTTCTTTTAAAGAAAATTAACATTTACTATTATGATCCCAAGAACATATTCTAATTATTTGGAAAAATAGAAGCTAGGGACTACTCTTTATCCCATAACAATCTATTCTATGAAAGAAAACAAGAGCAATCATTGTATGATTTTGAAAAATATAACCTTTAGAAATACTTACACTGGTAAGTTAAAAAAAATACTATTAGTTAAAAACATTGTTAAGGAAGCTTTTTTCCTAGTTGTATTTGTTCAACTTCTGGCGGGGGAGTGTATGCTGACAGAAAATTTAGAACCCATGGCTTGAAGGGAATAAAAGTAGCAAAATATAATTGATTTGCAAAGATTTTACATATAGGCATATCAGCAATAGGATTAAAAAGGCAATGAGTTCTGGCAAAACAAAAGTTACCACCAAATCAAAATAACCCAGTAAGTAACAAAAGCACTTTGACCAACCACTGTGGAGTGAATATCTAGAAATAGCTTTACCAGCTAATTATATGTTCACAAGTAAGATTAAAAAAAAAAAGTGTAATTCAGGTGCTGCCTAGGGAGGTCACAAAAGATCAAAAGTTCTCTCTGGAATTTTCAACTTCCTCACCTCCCTAAGTCTAGGCAAAATAATGGCTTTTGACTCTGGCCATCAGAAGCAGTGGCTGCAGCAGTACAAATGATCCATGTATCTCCTTCTACCTAGTTTCCAGTGCAACTGAGTCTAGCACATGAAAAGAGCCAACTTTCTGTTCAGTCCTTCTCAAGATAATTGTTAAAATGGCATCTTCTCAGCACCAGTTATGGGGCTTGTCTCCTTTCTCCATGTATCCTGCAGACAGAGGCTCTAAGGTCAGTAAATTTTTAAGGTTCTTCCATGTTTGGCCTATTCAGGCTGATGCTTTGTGTGGGATTCAGCTCCACTGCCTCAAATATTAACATTAGCAGATTAACAGATCACATGATCATATTTATACGAACCTCTAATCTTATTTAATTAGACATAAATGATAAAATAACTAATCCCAACAGCTTCTTCCATTTACCCATTCTTGTCTAGCACCTAGGATCACATTTATTCCAAAGTTTCTAATGTATCACACCATAAATATTCTTGCTTTCAGTCAAAATTATACTAGTCAAAATATACTAGTGTTTGAATATTGAGGCAATACAGGCTCACCAAAAAGGTCAAGGGATTTTTTTCCAAGCGCATGTACATGTATTAGTCCTAGAAGTCTCAGAGCTCACCAGCTCCGAGGTCATGTTCTCAAGGGCAGAGTATGCCCAAAGAAGCTCACAGACAGAGCAGAGGAGAACCCAGACATCATATTATTAGAGAGGAGTGACTACAGGGAGGAAAACCATATTCTAGACATCTCTCTTTCCAGCTACACCTGGATAGCATGTGTACTTTGAGGGAACAAAAGGAGGGCTTCACCGATTATTTCATTGCCTCTGTATACCAGACAATTTCATTCTCTCTATATACCAGAGAGAAACAGGCAGAATTCCCAGAAAAGAAACCGAGGCAAAAAAGTTAAAATATGTGATCATATGAAGCTGGGTAATGTGGGAGAGCATTAAATTCAACTGTTCCCAAAAATGGATTTCAAGACAAACCTCATGTAAACCAGACTTGATAGTGAAAATAGCACTTCATGAAGTTAGAAATGTAGTTCATAGGCCACCAGGAAAAGAGGTTTCACCCTTCCTCTCATGCTCTGCCTTTCTGGGGCATCTCAGTTTTAAGAGCCTGGGTAAGCCTGGCAGTGTTCTCTCTAGCCTCTGACCCTCAGGCAGAGGAGGCTTTACCATTAAGTGTTTAGGGAGGAAACTATGAGTGTTCACAGGCCTAGCTGAGGGATGTGAAAAGATGTGGTTTTCTTAGCTGAAAACAATAAAACTCCACCCCCACAAGGGGCATTCATGAGTGACAAGGTGGGGCCTGTACATAAGCCATTTTCCCCTGACCAACAACAGGGTAACTGGTTGATGATGATCTGCTAGGTGTAGCTGGAGGAGGCTGGAGGTTTACAGTAAGCTCACGCTCAACAGCAAGTGTTAAGAGTCTGCGTTCTCTGATATGAGATTTAAGTGGTGAATCCCCTGGGGCAACCTAACAGGGGAGGTGGAACCAGAACCACCAGACACATGTGGAGAGGGAGAGAACCTACTGAAATCTTGTATGTGAACTTAAACTTTGTGGTTCCTAGAGAACAGTGGAGGGAAGTCCCTGCCAACTGAAACTCTCAGAGGAAAAGAAGCACCCATGGAGCACTGATTCCAGTCAAGAACATTCTTAATAGGACAGAGGTCAAAATAAGGCTTCTGAGCAGGGGATTTCCTTATGGTTTTGAGTCAGTGTTCTGTGCAAGTCTCTCTAAATATTCAATATGCCTATAAGCAACATGGATCAACAGATTATGTTTCCAACTGCAAACATTCACAAGGACCCTCGTAAGAAGCTAGGCAATAGGCATTCAAATAGAAACAGCAGATCCAGAGATTTACTCCCAGCAGGAAAATGAATCTAAACTGACTTTGTATGATTATTGTTCCACTCCCCTCCTCAATCACAGTAATCATGAAAATGTTCCTTCTGTTAAAGGTAGATTGCAGGAAAGATATTGAAAAGATCTCCCAAATAACTGGGCAACAGTTTTCTGAGAAGATGAACACAGCAGAAAACCTGCAGTTGATGCCATGTGATCTGGTTCCATCCCCATCAGTGTCTTTAGAACCCCATTGGGTCCAACAAGAAACTCCTCAGGGAGTAAGAAAAGTTAGGCTCAGATCTCCTTCTCACAGCCACAGTGACACATGGCCAGCAGTACAATTAGGGGATTTGTAACTGTAATTCAGTTGTTTTTTTTAAAAGGAAACCAAAAGTATATTTCCCCCCAAATCACCCATCAGCACGGCTCACTGTTGAAGGACTTGGCAAGCCAGTCTGCCTCAGAACAGAAGGCAAACAATATAGTGTATCAGGAAGAAAAGGCCTTTGGGTATTATATCACTTCCTTCTGCCCACTCCTCAGGGGCAAAAAAATTAGTTCTACTTACTACATTTGAAAGACTAATTTTTTGAAAAAATTAATAAAAATAATAATTTCCCTGTCAAAATCACATGAACATAAACAGTAAAGCAAAGTCTGTGGGGAAGGTATATGGATGCAGAACAGGCTTCTAAGTATAGTCACCCTCCTTCTTGGTGTGGGTGGGTGATATCTCTTTGAGGATAAGACTGTCTCGTCTCCCCATCCTAGGTCCTCTTGCCCCAATTGTCTTTCCTTTGTAGCTGTTCTTAGGTTTAGTGTTAGGATCACAATTTGGAATTCAACAGAGCTTCTGAAGTTGATGGGACAGAGGGAGAGGAGAGGAGAGAACAAAAGGAATGAAAGATTAGTCTTCTTCATCCTCACTGATATCATAGGCTGCAGCCTTGTGCCTGGAGAGGTTTGCAGGGGAGGCAGGTGGGGAAGTCTTGCCAGAGAAGGGCCACCGGAAGGAAGGGGATGGGGAGCGTTCACGAGTAGGGCTGCTGCTGGGACTCTGCTTTGGACTGATGGCCTGTAGCATCCGACCTTTCCCCTCTTTCAGCATATGTTTCTGAGGAGATCAAAAGAACAGTGAGAAGAAACCTAAGGCTCCTATTAAATTATCAATGAAGAACCCGAGACTTCAAATTATTATCAGCATTCTCTGCAATGCTAAAAGTAATCCAGTAAATCACAGGAGGGACGCAGCTATAATTCTAAGCAATTTGCTCCATGAAGTGGTCTGTGCTATTTAAGTTTTACTACTTACTTAAGTTATCCAGTTACCAAATCCTTAAATTCCATGTCAAAGGAATTTCTAGTTATTTGGTCTGTAGTCCAGGCAACAGGTAAAAACAAATTAATTAATTCAAAAGTGTATCCTACTTGTAAGGTTCTCAAAAAAAAAATATAAATAAATAAAAACAAAAAAAACACTCTGTATGCTCCCTTTAAGATCTGCTCTCATATCCAAAGCCACAATCGGATCCTCCTGATATCTAACCTAGAGCTCACTTGCTGGACAGCTACAGATACAAGCTTTATTTGGCTTAAAAAGATCCTGCTACTCCTCTAGCAGAATACTCCCTCACTCAGTGACTGTAGAAGCTCTCTATATGGGAGGCAGTTTTCTTTTGAATGTTCATTATTCTTTCCTAGTGTTCTCCCTGAAACTATAACGTAGAAGCAAGCTGACAAAAAGCTACTTGGCTTATCCTGTCATCAGATTTGGAGGTTGACAGAAAGCTGGAAAAACCATTTACGAGAATGTGTAACCTCTTTCTGTGATGATCTTAAAGAACTTTTGGGGACAGTTGAAATATGATTCAACGAGGGGAACAAATTAGATAATGTCTTATTGTTGGTACCTCTTTCTGCTTAAGGATTATATTATTCTTCCCACAACATGAAAATTCTCTAAATTTTCCTGAAACTCTCTTAACTGTGTAGCAGGTAAGAACATACCAGTGCTCCTTCAGGGCCAAACATTTCCAGGAAACTTCCAATGAATTCTCGGGATTTCTCCTCCCATTTCTGAATGAGGTCAATGCTTTTTTCTTCTACTTTCTGAACAAATTCTTTTGATTTTTCTTCCACATCTTTCACTTTTTTCTTTACTTTATCAACCCGTTCCTGCAAGTGGTATTTCTTCTCCTAAGTAAAGAAATAACCTCTTTAAGAAATAATACACGTATCTTCCCTATCAATGCAGAAAGAAAAAACATGATGGACAATCTACTGACACTTTCTAATGTCTTTACATTTTACTTTGCTTTCATCTACCCCATGCTTCTCTGGCATATAATAGATAAGCTGTGGATGATCATCTTACACAAAAATGTGATAATTCTAACACTGCAGAAGCATGGGACCAAGCCAAATATATAGGGCCAATAACAGACAGACACATAGCAAGAGGAAGTCAGGTTGTTTAAGGAAAAACAAAAATTTGGGAAATAAACATGCCCAACATGCACAGCAGCAACAAGATCATGGCATAGTACTACTAGAATAGGCCAACTATAATAGGCTGTATATGAAAGTGAGGGATGTTTTACTTATTTATTGTACTGGATTTCTTTTCTCTGTGACTGGTCTATTCATGACTATAGAAGCATTGTATTATTTGTTAGTATTTGGAGGTCTGTTTGTTCATTTACAAAATGAAGTTGATACTCTTGGTCCCTCTAGTTTCCCTAAGGGTAAGGGGAAAAGGTATAAACTCTGAGAAAGTGGAGGAAGTATTTAGCCAAATAAAAACTATTCTCATGTTTCCAGATCATAAGATGGAAAGGGAAATGTTTAGTTTCTGAAAATCTAAAACAGAGATTTGTAGTAGGTGACTAATCACAGCTACAATTTATCTGTATATTTCAGATGAAACTATTTCGCCTATTCTTTTAGCATAATTCACAGAGCCGGAAGCAAGGATCATGGTAAATTATTCATACAGATATAATTAGAATTTTTATCCTTTTAAAGTCAACTATTGAGGTTATCAATAGTTTGCCCCTTGTTTCTAAGGGGCAAAATTAAGCTAAGAAAAAGTTCATTTTCATAAATCAGATTTTCAAACTTAGGTATGTGTGCCCTAAGAAATTGCATGCAAAATTTCATGCACAATAGGAAATGTTGTGTGGCTATCACAGGGAGGACTCCTGTGACAAACCTCTAAGTTTTCATCAGATTTTCAAAAGATCCTGCTACACCATTCAATCAAAATAGCAAGTTAAGAGCCACTGTTGTATATATTTGATATAAAATCTGCACTATACACTTAGACATTCTTATTTAATTGGCTACATGTCCCTATATATCACATGATGTTATCAGACCACAAAGGTAGAAAATGCTTGTTTTATTCTCTGAAAAAAGTTTAGCATAGTATTATCTGCAAAGAGGCATTTATTGAACTTTTGGGGGTAATTAATTACAACAAACTGAACAGGAAGTTCAGTTTATGGGAGCAAACAGGAGGCAACATGCGTCCTATTGGGTCAGAGAACAATGGGATGAGGTTGGAACTCACATTGATAAAGCTGACATTGAGCTCTTTTGCTGTGTAGCCCCTCTGTAGGTTCCGTCTGGCGTACACATCATAGTCCCGGACAATTCGGGTGATGATGTCTGATGTAGAGATACCCTCTGTCCTCTGTGTTGGAGCAAACATGCCTAGCCCAAGAACATACAGAAACATTCTGATATTCTGGTTAGCTCAAGCAGTAGGACTAGACAGAAACTGAGAATAACATGCCTTTCCTTAAACAGCAGAATCTGCCATTAGTTAAGCAAATTTTAGAGAAACTGACATACAGAAGGAAAAATGAATCAAAAGGTAGGAAAAACTCTATGGCCCAAATATAAGAAAAACATGGGGTTAGAGGAGGTTTCCTGAAGTTAGGAGAACTAGATGTTCAGATGGAGAGCATAGCACTGCTATGCTCATCTTCACTCTTAACCAAAATGTAAACTGAAAGTGGATATTAAATTTCTCAGTGTATTGATTTTCTTTTGTAAAATAAAGATTGATCTGTATCTGCCCCTGAGACTCCATAACATAAGGATGCACATCAACTTACTCACCTGCTTCTTTGATGTGTTTATAAACATCATCACTCCCAGCAGAAGAATAAGGGATGTCATCATGGGCTACAAAATCAATCTGAAAATAAGAAGTATCACTTAAAATCCAGCATAACTGCCATTCAGAAAAAAACCAATAAATATTCTTTGTCCAGAAAAAGGACAAAAAGCAGAAGCCAGACCTCAAATGGTCTTTTTCTCTTGGTCTCTCTGCCTTACGCATAAATTCCACAATTCATTGGCAAACTACATACCTAACCATTTCGGGATCACAAATATGAAGTCAGTTTCTATCCTAGCTACTTATATAAATCCTGGTCTTCTGGAAGTGCACCTTCCACATTATATACCAGTTATCAAGCTGTGGTTAACAGAAGTGCAAGATTTTCTGGTCACCTATCTAGTGGCAGCACCAAAGAAGAAAGAAAATCTCACCACCCTGCCTGGATCTGTAAGGATTGGTCAAATAAAGTTTTCCCCAAAAGTATGAAAAAGAGATCACTTCTTTGTTAGTTCATTTCTTTCTTGGTCTATGAGTAGGAATATAAAAATAGCAATCAAAGTCCTTTTACTGTAATAGATGCTCCTTTACTCCTGAGAAATGCAAAAACCCAAATCCATAAACATCTATATGCATCTGTAGAGAACTGATATGATTTCCAGTTCCTCAAGCTTGAGGTCCTCCAACCTGACCTAATAAATTCTTCTCATCTCTTAGACTCACCTTTGTAGGAAACCTGTTGCTTTAACATGGAAAATAAAAAGGAAGAGAAATGGTTTTATTATATTAACTTACTAAGTGAAAGTGAGAAACTGCCCTGGTTTCTGATCCCCCACAACCTCCAGCCCAAAACCAAAGTCCTAAAACTAAACTTAACCAGTTAAGAGAAATCTGTTTTTCTGTATTATCTCCTGGAATATGAACTCGTTGGGAACACAGCTGGGTCTACATGTACATATACTAAAGAGATGGGTATGCTATGAGGATGGACACACCTATAGTATGTGTGGAAGGGGACTGGCATCACATAACTAGAGCGCTCATCTACAGCCCTGCCAACAGTACCTGAAGAAGGTTACTTGGTCTTTCTGGGGCTTATTCTCTCATATGTAAAGTAGAAATATTAACTACCCCACAGATTCACTGTGGGACATATATGAAAGTACTTAAAAACCATTTAGCCCCACATAAATATCAAGGATGACTACAGTAATATCACTTTCATCCTCTCTTTGTCAAATTTTTAAAAAGATTTATTTATTTATGCATTCAGAACTGGGGTACAGGCCAGAGGTGTAGAGGCGGTGAGAGGACTCACTAGAGACAGAGTGGGGAGCAGAACAGGCTGACTGACAAAGTACACTGTTGAGGGGAGCGGCAGGCGAGACAGGAGAGGTCTACTGTACCATGGGGATCACCCCCAGGGCCAGGGACTGAACTCGCAATAAAGTGGCCATGGTCAGCCTGTAACGCTACGTCCCAACCCGCTGCACCACCAGGGAGGGCAACTTTGTCAAATTTACATGTAAAATACAGTTAGTAGGAAACCTGCCCAGTACCACAAATTTTCAGAGTTGATGAGACTCTGAACAAGAGTAGGGACATATGCTGTTTCTTACCCGGTGTTCTGCCAGGAACTCTGGAGTCAGGGTCCAGGGGGCATTCCTCACCACCTCATCCACATAGCGGCAGTGCTGCACTGCATCATAGCGCTCGTTTTCATTCATCACTGTGAAGCCTTTGAGGTTGTGTGTTAGCTCGTCACTGCAAACTGAGTTCACCACATCATAAAATTGTAAGTCAAAGTCCTTTCTACTTAACCACTCCTTAGTCACAATTCTCTGCCACTTCCCAGAAGAATCTTTTGGATGTAGCTAAGTCTGGGTAATAATGCCTTTAGAAGCAACACCAACCAGTCAATGTTCAAAATTCAGAAAATGAAGAATACAAATGGGGATAAGATCTTTGACTCTGAAAATATACCTGCTGTGCTTTTCTCCCTCAATTAGGTGTTTGGTTTTTTTTTTGAGATTTTATTTATTTATGTATGCAGAAATGGGGTACAGGCCAGAGGTGCAGGGGCAGCGAGAAGATTCACCAGAAACAGCGTGAAGAGCAGAACAGGCAGATTGAAGAAATACACTGCTGAGAGGAGCAATGGGTGAGACAGGAGAGGTCTGCTGCGCCATGGGTTCACCTCTGGGGCAAGGATTGAACTTGCACTGAAGTGACCATAGCTTGGCTTAGCTTTGCAGTGTAGCACTCCAACCTGCTGTTTAAAAAAATAGTTTCCTATTATATTTTTATATGTTGGACTGGACCACATGACATTTGCTTAGCTAACTTTCATGTTTCCACTGACTGAAAATGATGAACTGAAACTAAGCAAATGTTATTCTTAAGTGGGTAATAGAGGGTCAATGCTGCTCCCCTAACTAGAGAAACTCAGCTAAAACTAGTGAGATAAATACTAACATCTCAGGCCAATGAGCTTGGAGCCCCTCTCTTCAGGTTTAGGTTTCTAGTACCTCGCATACTTCCTGTTTGAAAGAGGATGTGCTATATCCCCCATTTAAAGAACAAAGTTAAGGTTATAAAGTTAAGAAAGAGAAAAAAGATAAATCTCTGTTATTCTAAAATGCTTTCAATTTAGAAGTGAGTTCTTATGAATTATATACGTCAAAATTTAAGAACAATACATGTATCTTAACTGTTACACACCACAAGTGGTGTGAGTATAGATTATTCCTCTGGACAACACCTCATCTTCAGAGGTTTTCTTACCTCCCACAATGAGATATGTATTGGGGAAAAGGTTCTTTGCTTGCATCAGAGCCCGGGCATGACCAGAATGAAATAAGTCAAATATACCGTCTGCATATACTCTCACAGGCCGCTCACCTAAATCAAAAGAAAAGAATTTATCACAGAAATATACTGAGTCAGCACCTCCTATTTAACAAATAGAAAGAGCACTATGTGACTCTTCCATCCCTGTACCCCTCTCTTAAGGTGCTCTCTGGATTTTCACCCTAATTTATGGGTAAATTATAATAGCGAGGAGAAACTCCACAGACTTACCTGGCTACAAAGACCCTTGACATCGCATCCATGAGCTCTTGTTACCCTGGTTGTATGAAACTGTTCAGGTAATTGGATTTCATGATTGCTTTTTCCTAAAGTTGTTTTAGGAATGATTCAAAGGACTTATACTACAGATATGTCCTAAACTTCAAAAAACAGATAAAATTTTTGCCTTCATCTTATGTTTACTAAATTTCCTTTATGTTAAACAAAACAGTTTAGTTAAGTATACTCTTGCTTTCTCATTTTCCAACTGCCTTGATTAATGTGGGTGAATGCTTTACTTTCAAAATAAACTTTACCACTGGAAAGTAAGGAGTACTCCAGAGGGGTGAGATTGAGAAAAAGAGGGAGACTAAGTCCTAGTTATCAACTTATTGCTCCTCTGTCCCAGATTTATCCTCAATATCTATCCCATGGTAACAGACAGAAAGCCTTAAAGCATTTCCCTTAATAGTAAGATACTTTCTCAGTAGATGATACAATATGTATTTGAAAATCAAATATCAATGTCTTAAGGCCTCATGTTAGAACTTTTCTTCTTCTCCTCTCCATTAGTGAGACTAATAGAGAACTGATTATCAATTTATTTTTAGTAAGAGTATATGATGAAAGAAAAGCCAACTGACCTCCTGAGGTACAAGACTAAGATTTCTGGATGTACAAGATTAGTTGAAAGCCAAATAAACACATTGAGAATGAATCTGTTAACAATTTGTCATGCCTAAGATGATAAATCTAATGAATTCTTGTAACATTTTCATTATAGTAATAAAGGAAGAGCTATTCCACTGTAGCAGCAGAAATAACACCAGGAACATCAAGCTGGGGAAAGAGACTTCATTTCTTAGTTTCTATGGACCTTAATTTCTTCACATTTATAAATCAGATAATCTCAAAAATTACTTGTAAAATTCTGTTATTGTAAATGCTTTTAATTTAGATTTATTAGTGAGTTCTTGTTAATTATAAACTTCAAATTTTAAGGACAATACATGTATCTCCAACTATTACACACCACAAATGATAATACAGATTAATGGCAATTGGGGTTACTGATGAAACCTGAATGAGATAATGGATTCTGAATGTGTGTCATTACAGAGCTCACGAAATGCCCTTGCCCTCTACAGACTCTATTATCACATTAGAATGTGAGCCGGAGCCGCTTGGTAGTATACTGAAATTTGACCTGCCACCATTATACCCTATTACATACAGCTAATATTCGCCCTTGTTACCATTTATCTTGCCCCATTGGCCTGCCAATTTCTCAAGGACAGGGAGTAAAACATGAGAAATTATATTATGAATCAGAAAAGTTGTGATCAACATATAGTTCAGTGTCCTGAACTATAGCTGAACACTTTTGCAAAAGAAAGCATTCCCCTGGAGTTTTTAGGACCCAAAAACTAAGTCCCAGATAACTCAAGACACTGCCACGGGACACTGGGACCTTTGGCCTGACTGTTCAGCATTCATGTCCATTTGTATATCACTATTTTTCAGTTGCAACAGAGCTCAAACATACTAAAACAAGAAGGAATCACAAATAGTTTCTATATAGTGGAAATGTATAGACTGAGCCAAAATTGCCTCTTATTCTCAGGGCTAACCTCATTATAGGGTATAGAGAACACTTACTGTAGAAAATGAACTGAAAAAGGAATTGAAAAAATTGGGGAATTTACAGAGACAAAGAGGTGGCTGCCTATAGAACTCTGAATTCATAAGAATGTTCATGAGAAGTTTCTACTTACAATGATCCTTAAAACCAATTGCACAAACATACATATTACATAAAATACATTATTAATAATTTGTGTAGTCAAATATTATTAGCTAGTGATATAAAGCATACAAATAAAAAGGCCTTGAAAGGAATAATGCAAATCTTAAAAAAAAAAAAAGAAAATTAATTTTATCTTTATTGATAAGTGATGAGCAACTACCAACTTGGGATATTTTTGTCCTCTATCAATCAGCTGTATTATAGCTAGGTTAATGACAGAATGTAGGAGGTTTGGGGGGACAATTATGAAAGATATTAAAAATGTAATAGTTGATACATTATTTAGACCTTTGCAAAAATAGCCAAGATTATAATCCAGCTCAGGCTAAATCTTAATGCCTCTGCTCTGCTATATCTCATAGAGGTGAAAACATACTGGGAAACAAATAAAATTCTATGCAGTAGAGCTAACCTCCCAAATAAAACAGCAAGGCAGGGGAGAGGAAATCCCAGAAGGGCAAATACAGAGTGGATATATATTGGATCAATACAACTGAATGCTAAAAAACAATAGGAAAGCAAAAAAAAAAAAAAAATGATTACATATTTACTTACAGGGAGTTCCTCTGCTGGCTTCTTCCATAGTTACCCTGACATAGGGTTTACTAAAGTCTATTTCAATTTCATCAGAAAAAGGAGCTGGCTGCCGTAAGCCCTTAGGAAGAAAAACAGGAAAAAGAAAGCTAAATTCAATGATACACTGAAACTCAAAAAAGAACAGCTATTCAGTATGCTTCAATTAAAACTTCTCCTAGAAGTTTTAACATAAAAAAGTTTAAAGGGCCCTCCCAGATGGTACAACAGATTAAAGCACAGCACTATGAAGCTCTCTGCAGCCACTGCAAAATGAATTTGATCCCCGGCTAGGGAGGTGACCCACATGGCGTGGCAGACTTCTCTGACCTGACCACTGCTCCCCTCAGCAGTGTATCTCAGTACATCTACCTGTTCTCAGTACATCTACCTGTTCTGTTCCCTGCTCTGACTTTGGTGAATCCTTTCACCCCACACACCCCATCTCTGGCCTGTATTCCAGTTCTTGTAAGCATAAAATAAAATTTTTCTAAAAAAATTTTTTTAAAGAAAAAGAGCATTCCAAAGTGACCATATGTGTAAAGAGAAATGTTTACACATATGGTGATTTCACCATTACTGAGTGAAGTGGAACCTAAGCACCACTTACTGGATACAAAATCATGGCTCCGTAGGCTTGAATATCAGAAGAGTCAATGTTATGAAATTGCCAAGGTTCCTAAATGCATTTTCATACCATTTCAACTAGGTTTCCTTTCAAGTTAAAATGAAGAAAGTTTGCTTTAGAAAAATATACAAAGAAATTCCTAGTCCTATTGTTATAAGCCTCAGCTTCCAGAGACACTGTTCTTTAACTGACAAAAAAATAAGTTTTTTAAAAATACTACTCATTTTCATTGGGGCAACCCTAGAGAGTGAAGGATTTTGCTGACTTGTGGTAACTTAAGAACTTTAGGTTTCATTCTCTATACTTAGGAAGGATTGAGTCAGCACAAACCCCAGCCAGTGAGGACAGCTACACTTTCCTTCTGCTTTTAGGGCAGGCACACAGTATATGAGGTAAATTGAAGACTCAGTTATAAAAAAAATAGGACTTAGTGTATCTTTTCAAAATTGAACAAAATGCACATGACATAAATTCAACGTTTAAACCATTTTAGAGTATACCAATTTGTTTTTTTTTTAATATATTCAGTATACTTGGTACACTGTATGATCATTGCCACTGTCCAATTCCAGAACATTTTTATCACCACAGAAAGAAACCCCATTCCCATTAGCAGTCACTTTTCATTCTCTCCTCCTTCAACCAAGAATTGTCTATTTTATCATCTTAAAATTTATCTTGTTCTCTCTGTATCTAGTTTATTAGTTAAGGCTTCATCATCTCCAACCTGGGTCATTATAACAATCTTACTCTAGCTTCTGTCTATCCCTATTTCAACTCACCCTTTCCAAAACAATGAGGATGATCTTTCTAAATTACAAATCTGATCACATTACTTACAGGATAAAGTTCAAACTCCTTAGCCCAGGGCACAAAACACTTCATGACCAGACAATTGCTTATCTATCACAGATTATTATTCTGAACTTTAATTGCCTGCTCTATTATTTGCAGTTTGCTAACCATACTATTACTTAATATTTCTGAACTTGTACTCTACCTCTTATCCATTTTTTAATTCCTTTTCACCCTTCAAAGCTCAGCTCAGAAATAATTTCCTCAATGAAGCTCTTCTAAAACTACTGTCCCCATCCCTCAAAATTAATCTCTTGCTTTTCTTGACATCACTGGCATTTTCATACTGTATATTAACTAATTTCTCTCCCCCCATTTGTCTGTGAACTTCTCAAGAGCATGGTTATTTTTTCATTTTTGTGTTTCCAAGGCATAGTAACTGGCACAAAGAGATTCTCAATATATATTGGATGAGATGAGACTGTGAGATGCAACTCCATAAGGAGAACTGTGGTCAGTTTTCCCCAGAGTTTAGGTACTTAAGTGATTTATTCATACATATGATAAGTAAGATTGACTAAATGTCTGATTCTTTGTAAGTATTTTTGTGTTCCTTTTCATTATGCCTTTAAAAACTTAAAGACAAGGGCCCTGCCTGGTGGCGCAGCGGGTTAAAGCGCAGCACTAAGAGGCTAAAGCCACGTCCGCCTGAGTTCAATTCCCGCCTTCCCCGAAGGTGACCACATGGCGTGGCAGACCTCTCCCTGTTCGCTCCCCACTCTGTCTCTGGTGAATCCTCTCACCACCCTGCACCTCTGGCCTGTACCCCAGTTCTGTATGTATAAATAAATAAATCTTAAAAAAAAAAAAAAAAAAACTTAAAGAAAAACTGGCCATTAAGTTACCCCTTAATTTATCTTTAATTTTTTTGCCTCTTTCTTCTATACATTTCCTCCTGACTCTGGTCAATGCAGTTCTCTATTCCTAAAAGTGAAAGGAAAGAACTTTTTCTATAGCTATTGAGCTTTGACCTATAAAGCTCTACATTATGCTCATATCTCTTAAAAGAAAGGTCTTCTTAATCTTTACTCTAACCTACTGCCATGCTGGCACATTGTAAGTATGTGATAAAATTTTATTTGTACAACCCAAAAGTCAATGGGTAAGTAAAATGTGGTATGTGATCTTCAATAGCATGTTATTTAACAATACAAAGAAATAAAATACTGATTATGATACTGATACCTGCTATAACAAGGATGAATCTTAAAAACATGCTCAATGAAAGGAATCAGCCACAAATGACAAATTAGTGTATGATAACATTTGCATGTAATGTCCAGATTAGGCAAATCTACAGTCAGATAGTAGATTTCAGTTTCCAGAAGCTGGGATAGTTAGAAGGACATGGGAGAGATTGCTAATGGGAATAGGCCTTCTTTTTTGGAATGATAAAAATATTCCAAAATTGGTTTCAGTGAATGTTGCAAAGCCTGATAAATATACTAAACACCATTGAATTGTACAATTTAAGTTGTAGAATATATGATCTCAATAAATCTGTAATTAAAAAAAATTCTTGCTTTGGTTAGAGAGTTTAAAGGAATTTAAGATAGGAAGTAAAGGTGTACAGTGAAGATGACAGCCAAGTTTCCTCTTTAGGATTGGTCTAGCCTGTTGAGTGAGTGAATCTTTGAGCCCATGTTAAATATGCAGTATATACCAGAGAGAAATATGGAATAAGTAGCAAGCCATTCAGCCAATTATTACCTAGATATATAAAGCAATTTAAAGCACTGAGATTCCACATATCCTAAGGATGAAGACATTTACTCCTTTTAAGGGTTTGTTCCACTAAAACTGGTCTTCTTTGCTTTATTCCTGGCTATGGTGGTAGGCTGAGTATCACCTATTTGGTTTAAATTGTCCCTATTCCAAGTGAGATTGGTAATTTGGTGCCCACCATCAGTTCCTTAACTGGAATTCTCTAAAGAACATTCAGAAATTAACAATACCCGTTTTGCTGACTGATGAGTCGTCTACTTAGTTAACTTGCTGTGACATGACAAATAATGATTCCCCAAAGATGTCTGCATCTCACTCCCTAGAATCTGTGACTGTGGCACTTTATGTGGCAAAGGAACTTTGCAGATGTGATTTGATTAAAGATTTCTGAGACAAGGAGATTATTTTGCTTGTTAAATATTTATTTACATCACTGCTTATTTTTGAATAAGTTTGATTTCTCTCCTTGTAATCCCCATAAAATTCCCACCACCAAGGCCCCTCTGGTAGCTCAGGAGTTAAATCTCAGCACTATCAAGCTGTTAACAGCCACCACAGCATGGCTTTCATTGTTTCCATCCCCACAAACTCACAAACCCCCCACCAGGGCCATGGCCCACAGGGCACAGCAGACCTCTCCTGTCTCACCTGTTGCTCCCCTCATCAGTGTATTTCAGTGGATACCCTGTTCTGTTCCCCTCTGTCTCTGATGAATCCTCTCACCCCAGCCCACCCCCGCCCTGCCCCAGCTTCTGGCCTGCATCCCAGTCCTTACATGCATAAATAAATAATTCTTAGGGGAAAAAAGATTCCCAACACCCAAATCTCCCCTGAACGATCCTGGTAGTCTCCTTTGCTCCTCCCTCCCCACCTCCTATGTATGTCTCAGTTTGCCTGCTGGTGTTGCCTTTGTTTTTTCTTTTTTAACTACAAAAAGATTATTTGGGACTATCAATGTATGTACACTATAATCAGAAGAGTTTCTATAAGTGAAGGAGGTGAGCAGAAGAATTAGAATCATAAAGCAATATGATGACAATAGCAGTGTTTAGAGTGATGTGATCACTGGTTGCAACCATTAGCAAAGCAAAGTGAAAGTAGGAAAAGGCAAGCAGATTCTCCCCTACAAATTCATCCTTGGTGACACATTGATTTTAGCCCTCTGAGACCCATTACAGATTTCTGATCTCCGGAAATGTAAGCTAATAGATCTGTATCGCTTTAGGTCACAAACGTGTCAGTTTGTTCACAGCAGCTGAAGGAAAGCTTCCACCAGCATCAATATTAGATCTGGAGTATATGTCCACTAATTGTGAAAAACTTTGTTTTTATTGCTCAAGTGCTAACTTTATCAAAGTAGAAAAGTTTTTCCCTTTGGGCTATAAAATTTCAGGACTAACCAGTGGAAACTGTGGTTTGATCAATGGCTAATGGTCAAAAGAGGTAAAGAAAAAATAGAAACATACAATTCTGTCACTGGGATTTTAAAACATGGATTTCATAACAATACTGTGTTTCAATAATAACTTCAATTGTGTATTCTTTAGGGGAAGCTTTTAAAGGAAAGGTACTAAAGAGACAGGATAAACAGGTTGGAGTGGGGTCTTTCATTAAGGGCTTGGCAGCAGTTACAATGTTCCAGGGATATAGGAATAGAAATAGAAATAGAAAAAGAATGTCATCTAAGAATGAAGGGATAATTTGGGAGAAAGGACAGTAAGACTGAGGGAAAAAGGCTAAACACCATGAGATAATACGAATATTGGATCCAGCCTCCCTGGAGGCCTAGGGTTAAGGCTCGGTGTGAGGGCCTGAGTGAACCCAGTCAGAGAGCTGACCCACATGGCATGGCAGACCTCTCCTGACCCACCCGCAGCTCCCCTTTGCAGTGCATTTCAGTCAATCTGCCTGTTCTGCTCCCCACTCTGTCTCTGGTGAATCCTTTCACCCCGCCCCGCGCCAACCCTCCCCCCATACCTTTGGCCAACACTCCAGTTATTCCACGCACAAAAAATATTTTTTTTTTAAAAAAAGATTGTATCACTGCCTAAGGCATCAATTTCTCTATTTCATTTGCCTACTAGACACACAACCTCCAATTTCTCCTAAGGTTCTTTTTCCAGCTCTGATATAAATTTCTTACAAATAAGATGTGAGCTACAATCTACTAAGAAAGCATAAGATTTTCAGTAACCATAAAAATCATACTTAGTGTTCATTCTTTCCATTATTTAAAAACTGTAATACTGATATTATCAAAATCATATCAGTTTCTACCCTTCCTCTGCCCAATTAACTATTAAAGTAGTCTCTTTACTTACAATTGCACAGCGTGGCATTTTTGAAGGAATTCCATCTTCTTCTGTTGCCCCATTGGGTCCAGGTGCCTCTTTCCTCCTTTTCCTTGGGTTGACTTTGGCTGAATTCTGTGCATCCATCTTCTTTTAACTGGTTATAGAAAGTAAAAAAGAAATTTTTTTTCCTAAATGGAGTGGAAGAAAGCATGTCAACAATATTTCAGAAATGTTAACATGGATTCACTCAATTCCATAGTGCATATTTCACCAAGATAAGCCAACTATATCTGACAAAAACAACAAAGTTTTACAAAACACAGCCTCCAACAGAAACACTAAAATCTTTCTCTGTGCAACAATGGCCACAATTAGTCACCTATCTTAAAAATTATTCCCCCAGACCAATACTACCTACATACCAATTGTTACGTTTATATCTCGACTGTATGCAAAGCATTGCAACAACATGACTGAGAAAGAAAGGCTAGACACACTGCATACAACTCCTTATATAATTCCTGAGACACCTAGAAAGGTGTGGCAGGTACAAGGAAATGTTAAAGGTGTGTATCTGTGGTTCCCATTTGGGATGGGTAAAGATATGATACAGTGAAACTTGGAACAAAAATCCTCAAAGCAGAGGTAGAAAACAAAACAAATACCAGATAGAATGAGGACACTCTACTCTGCCTCACTCACTGCCTCTAATAAGCCCTCCTGAGTAAGATATCATCTAAACAATTACAATACTGTGCTTTCTTTTCTTTCCTCCAGCTAAATTCCAAGTGGCAATGTGACAAGATCTAAAAGAAACCTGACCTAATTCTTGGTGACACCCCATGAGTCATGGTTAAGTACTAGGTTGACAAGAGAAAAAGTCCAAGTCTAAAGTGAAAGATGCAAATTAAAATGGAAGAAGGGTAATACATATTTAGCAGATCTTTCCAGTGATGATGATCGGAACTTTTCTTCATTATTGTTATTAAGAGATCAGTACTACTACTCCCACACCATTGGCCTAAAAGGCCTGCTAAGTATGCCTAATCAGCCCAATTAGTGAACATTTCTAATTTATATATACAACAGGTTTCTGCTGTTAAGTATATCCTAAATTCTTGGTAGAGGCAGATAAAACCCATTATGAGGAATGTAATCAACATTATCTGGTATTAGGCTGCTCAACAGTCAGTAATATAGAGTACTTACTAGGTACAGGGTACTGTAACATAATTTTTAAGAAAAAACTAACTTCTCAAGAAGGCTTCGCTCAAGATAAAGGTACTACATATAGAGTCTAACCTTAAAAAAGAAAAATATACTGTGTTATGCAAGGTTACCCTTGTTTTTAAAAGGAAATAAATGTTGAAGAATCTAGGGATAAAGGGTCATGATCTTAGCAAAAAAGAAAACAGTAGAAGAAAATTACATATTTATATGTCATGTTAAAATAGCAAAACATTATCAAAGCATGAACTATAAAAGTGTTCATTTCAATATTCTTACAATCTTCCTATAGGTTTTACATTTTTTTTTAAAATAAGAAGTTTAATTTTTAAAACTCTCTGTAACAATTTTCTACACAGATAGGTCCTCAGAATTTGTAGTCTCTAGAAACTATTTCCCTCCCTCTCCTTCTTAACTTCCTAAATCAGTATATATTATAGATATATTCCAAGAAATGTTTTTAGTAATCTGTATGTCTTGCAAGGAATAACAACAGCAATAGTTATAACAACAGCTTTTTTTTTTTTTTGACGTACTATGTGCCAGGCACTGTGTACTTTATAACATTATTTTCATTTAACCCATATAACCTGAGAAGTAGTCATTAATTGGTCCCAATTTGCAAATGAGAAAATTAAGGATTTTATGGAAGTTAAGCAACCTATGCAAGAGATCATACAACTAGTAAGTGGGAAGTCAGGATTTAAATCCAGTCTTGCCTAATTCCAAATCCTTACCTCTATTTTCTTCTGTCTTCCAGAAATCCAAGATTTTTAAAAGGAAGCTCTCTCATCACCATTATTGCTACTTTTGGCTTTCCAGAACCTTCTATGGCATGAGTCCCATAAGTTTTTGCAGTCTTAAGTCAGTTCATCTTAAATGAACAGTGGGCTAAAGGTTACTTTAAGGTAAACAAGGTACCAGGACCAATTAAAAAGAACTGACGTGGCAATTGGCCTGATTCAGAGATTGCCTGGTTTGTCAGTTGTATAGACATGAGATCTTTCCAAACTGATACTTTTGCTAGGACTTTGAAACAAGCTTTCAACTTAAGCAATTAAGAATTCTTTAACCTCTACTACTCCCTTTTCTGACACTTATGCAAATATGTAGTACTTTTATTCATGACAAAAAAAGTAGAATTTTAAAAGTGCCATAATAAATTAAGGGGATAAATATCAGGTCATATTTTAATTATTTTTCATAATTCCATGTTAAAATCCACTTAATAGAAAAACACTTAACACATCCAAAAACATGTTTGCAGAAACTTCTCAGGAGTCTGTTCTATATATTGTGTTGACATATAATTAACTATACATGGGCCCTCCCTTGTGCAGTGGGTTAAAGCGCAGCAGTATGAAGCTAGCCACAGCCAATCCCCAGCCAGGGAAGTGACCCACATGGCATGGCAGACCTATCCTGTCTCACCTGCTGCTCCCTTCGGCAGTGTACTTTGTTAATCTCCCTGTTCTTTGCTCTGCTCTGTCTCTGGTGAATCCTCTCACTCTGCAGCTCTGGCCTGTACCCCAGGTCTTTTTTTTATATTAATAAGTAAACTATACATACAGAATATATTTCACAGGAATTTCTCAGGAGTGTGTTCTATATATTGTATTGACATATAATAAACTACATAGAGTTTTAATTTAGAGTTTTAACTTATCTATATACTTGTTAAATTATCAAAATTATGATAATATACCACTTTCAAGTTTCCTCATGTCACTTTGTAATCCATCTTTCCCTCTTCACTCCAATTCTGCCTTGTGGTTTTGTTTTGTTTTGGTTTTAACTGCTTACTTCTTAAAGTACTGAACCATCTTCTCACATGATTCAACTTTAAACAACCAAACATACAGTGGCTATCATCATGCTAGGATCATAGCAGAATGGCTCTATCTTCTAAGTTAAAATATTACCTGTATAGTTTTAAAGATATTTGTTCTAGAGACAAATAAGTATCTGGAGTCTTGTGACACTGGATCTATTCCACTAGATTAAAAAATTATACAAAGATATAAAAGATCACAATGAAGACTCAAGGCAAGAGAAAGGAATTAACTATTTAGCTATTTAAAGCTATAGTAAAATTCACAATGTAGAAAGTACCAAAGCAGCCATTATTAATATGTCACAAACCTCTTTGGTAAATAATAGTAATACTAATATATTTTTTATATATGTATTATATATTTCAGTCAAGTATTTACATACTTTAACAAAATTTCTCCATCTGCCTTACACAATAATCTCTAATATATCTAATAAAATGTGTAAGGCATTTTTTTCTCAATATTTTTTATCCATGATCCATTTTGAGAAATGCAAAAATTTTTTAACTTTATTAGCAAAGTGCACTGCTAGAGAAGTCAGGCCCCAAAATCCTATTACCTAAATATGAATCCTGTCTCTACTATTTACTAGCCCATGAGAATTGAAACAAACTCCTTAATCTCTCCATACCTTATTGCGTCCTCAAACAAATGAGATTTAAATGAGATAACCCATGTAAAAGCCTTAGGTCAGAGCCTGGCACACAGTAAGTACTTGTAAATATCAGCGTTATTTACTAGTATCTTTCATCATCAGCTTTAAACCTGTCTTCTGTACAACCCCTCTATCCAAAAAAATCTTGTCATATTGTCCCCTCCATGATTACTATTATAAAAAATATACTTCTAATGTAAAAGTAGGTGTAATGTAAAGTATGTCCCATCTCACCCACTCAAATTATTATACTTAATCACTGTTCTCACTGAAGCTACATGAGTTACTCAGTCTTACTGAGTTTCTCCCAAGTAGACAGGAGACAACATGTTATTATGAAATTTATTTTTGTTATTTTTCTCTTTAAGAAAAAGAAATCACTGTTGTAGTAGCAAGAATTCTACTGGAACCCCTCCCAGAAGCTTATGTACTACAAAAGCACATAGAATAATTTAATAACCAGTACCTAAAATGATGGGAAAATATTACCTCCAGTTTCCCTAAAGTTTCAAAGATGCCAAATCCCAGTAAGGGTACAACTTCAGTACTGAGAAAAGGTATATGGGAGGATAGGGCAGACCAAAGATAGTCAATCATATATCTTTAGTTCATTAGACTGAAACTGTCCAATATCTAAAGCCACGCCACCTTTACAACAGTCACAATGTCCATCTTGACACCTCCAACAATACTTCCCAAACTCTCCATTTACAACTGAACCTCCTTAACCAACCAACACCATTCAAGTAAAAGTGCAGTGACTGTTCTGGAATAGGAGGTTTTTAAATATCTATATTCAAGAGGAAAAACTTACATACACAGGCCCTCCCCGGTGGTGTAGCAGGTTAAAACACAGCACCAAGAAGCTGAAGCCACTTCAGCGTGAGTTCAATCCCCACCCGAGGTGATATACATGGCACAGCAAACCTCTCTAGACGGACCCGCTGCTCCCCTCAGCAGTGTACTTCATCAGTCAACCTGTTCTGCTCCCCACTCTGTCTCTGGTGAATCCTCTCGCTGCCCTTGCACCTCTGGCCTGTACCCCAGTTCTGCATAAATAAATAAATAAATCTTTAAAAAATAATACATACACACAAGTTACCTTAGTATCTATTTGTCCAGAGGTTCATGGGGTTGGGAGAAGATGTACTCTTCCATACAAGATCAAAAGTGGAGTGGTGAGCAGGAAATTGCCTAATACTCTGCAGTCAGATCCTGGCTTCCAGGGTAGGACCCATATTAGTTAAGCCAGGATAAATAAGAATGAAAGTATCAATAGTTGGAGAGAGAACATAGGCCCTCCCTCATGATCACCATAGGGCAGAACAAAACCTGGTTTCCTTAGCAGTTTATCCTCCAAAAGTTTTTTTCAAAAGAAGCTTTAACAGGGCCCTCCCTGGTGGCGCAGCGGATTAAAGCACTGCACTGAGAAGCTAA